AAGAAGCATAGCTTCTATCGCTATCACCTGTAATTGATGCGCCTTGGATCACGGCCATCACATCGAAATCCCAAAAAAAAAAAAAAAAGCATGCTGTGAAACATACAAATAGTAGATATCTAAATGTTATGCACAAATTTACTTTAAAAGAACTAGTGTGAAACTGACTTATTATTTGAAAATTTATCTAAATTATTCCAATTATAAACTACGCACGTTTCTAACTGTCAAACGTCATTCCTCGAGCATTCTTCTATTTTCTTGTTTTTCGCGTCTCGGCGCGGTATTGGCCACTTTAATAACGACAGCAAAATGGAAGCCGATGATATTGATGAATTGTTTATTAGATTGTGCGAGTTGTACAATTTGTACAAAAAATACAAAAATAATAAAAAGCAAAGACGATATGGAATTCGTCCCATTAATAAAAACTGGGCCACCGCTGGTTACCAACTCCGAACGTTCCAACTCATGAGAACAAAAGAACCAGAGCAATGGTTTTTGCAAACAAGGATGCCACCGCACATATTTGATATGCTTTTAAAATTGGTAAGCAAATCCTTGTGGAAACCAAAGCAACGGATTGGTCCCGAGGAAAGGCTCTCCTTGGCGTTACTGTAAGTCGACTGTCAATGTATTGTAGAATAAATTAATATGCGTATGTACTTCTTATATAATTATGAGATATTTGTCACAAGGATTATCGATGCAGAGCATTTCAGGGAGCTACAAATTGGGAAAAGAAACTGTACGCAAAATAGTATTTGAGACGTGCGAGGTAATCTGGCGGCTATTATCCCCGGTATATGTCAGCGAGCCAACAGAGTCTCAATACCAAGACATCGCTAAGGATTTCTATAATATATGGAACATTCCAAATTGTGTCGGCGCAATTGATGGCAAACATGTTGCTATCAAGTGCCCGGCCAATTCGAATGCAATGTTCTATAATTATAAGAAATTCTATAGCATTGTTTTGATGGCGGCATGTGATGCAAAATACACTTTTACAGCGGTCAGTATTGGAAGCTTTGGCAGTCAAAGTGACGGAGGTAAGACGTGTATATTAGTTTAATATTCACTCAATTTTGATACGTTTTTTATAGGCATTTTTCAACTTTCCCCATTTGGACAAGCATTAATGCAGAATACTTTGCCCTTGCCACCTCCGCAGCCATTGTCTAGCGTGTCGACTGAATCTTTCCCCCATTTTTTCATTGGTGATGCTGCATTCCCTTTGCGAACCAATTTGATGCGCCCTTATCCCGGATCGAACTTAACGAGAACGAAGCGAATCTTCAATTATCGACTTTCACATGCCCGAAGAGTCATAGAAAATAGTTTCGGGATATTGACTGCTCGATGGAGAGTACTGCGTACAACGATCGAATGTTGTCCGGAAAGTTGCGAAAAAATTGTATTGGCATGTATAGCTTTACACAACTTTATAATGTTAAATGATCAGAATCGTTGGTACTGTCCGGAGAATTATGTTGACCAAGTAAAAGCAGGCAACGTTGTTCATCTTGGAGAATGGCGCTGCGAAATAGAAAATGACCGCTCCTTACTAGCCATGCGGTCTGCAGTACGTAGAGGACCTGCTACTGCATTTAACTTGCGAGATAAGCTTGCCAACTATTTCATAAATGAAGGGTATTTACCATTCCAAGACAATATTGATCATAACCTAGGTGAACCATAACTTACTTCACAAATACTGTGACTCACAGCGTGCATATTTCGCTTTGTTAATTTTCACAAAGTTTTTCATGTTCAGTATATTATAAATTATTTATTTTTTTAAATATGGTTGATAGTACAACAAATATAAAAAAAAAAAAATTCCAAGCTTTGTACAAAAGCTATGAAAATATTTTAAGTATGCAATTTTTATTGATTTTTATTCATGTGTTGAAAGGAACATATTTAACTGACGTTACTAATAGCTTTTCTCAGTGAATCAATCATATTTGTATAAAAAATACATACATAGCATTTCTAAGTGTATGAACCATATTCTTATAAAAAATAACATACATTATTTAACATGACAAACTCTGTTAATATTAACAAAACACTTTTTTTTTGTGTGTGCACGAAATAAGCTGTGAGCCACTGTATGTACACTAGCAACCAATGAAAGTGTACACTATGTCCTACACCCAGAAAAAAGCATCTAAATGTATTTCTCTCAACACATGATTTGGTTATAGTTACATACGTTATTTGGGTATAGTTGCCAAATCGTGTGTGGAGAGAAATATTTTTAGCTGACTTTTTTCAAGTTTCACACTTTATATAAAGTTCACAAAAATTCAAAAAGTTTTCATCAAAACGCTCAACTTTTTATTCAGAATTTCTACAAAATTTACGAATATGCAGTTTTGTAGCCCACTTAATTTTAATCATCATAAATGGTTTATAATGGCTATTGCTAAAATTTCAAACACAAAAGATATCACAACAAATTCTATGGGACTGAGAAATATTATTATCTAATTTTTATTCCATTTATAAAAGCGTAGTATATTAAAAAGTTTATTTTATTTGATTTATTTATAAATAACTAGTGCAAAAAATTTTTCATGAAAATAATTGTGAATACTATATTAGAACTAGGTGTACATTTTCATTTGTCACCCAGTGTATATCTAAAATAAATTGCCCAACATACTTTTGTTTCATTAATTCACATATCTACTTACTAGTTTTAGATTGATTAAAAATGTAAAAATCGAATCCGAAAATATCTTTAAATAAATAATAACATTCCTACAAACTTCCAGTTGATGCGATAATTGAATTTTTTGTGACCTGACCGAAGTTTCCCTGTTATACTGACGAGTATATTAGATACTTATTAATAAACTTTTTTCGATTTACAGCTCTATTCTGTATCAGTCACAAATTCTTGTCACAGTTTTTTATGCGGAAAAATATATAAAAAAGTTTAAATTTGTCAGTGTAAAACTGGACAGTTGAAAGCATTGCTTGGGTATTGAGCTAGAACTAGTACTGTCGGCAAAAGAAGCTAGAACTAGTACTGTCGGCAAAAGGTCTAGTTCTAAGCTAGTCAGATTTTCTGCAGGGTATATTTACATATGTATGTATTTATACGATACTAAAACAACCAGACGACGCATTATTAATTTTAAAAGTTTTTGTATATAAATATGTAATATTTTGGTATTATTTAAATTTACATTTAAAACTAGGAACACTTCAGTTACTGTTATTTCAAAACAGAAAGTTTACATGTTAATTAAAATAAGTATGTATTATGTTAGATTTACAACATTCAACTTGGCATTCAACATGTGAATCGCACGCAATTGAAGAATTTAATCAGTTGAATGCCAAGATGAGTGGTGTTTGCCTTGCTTTATGAAAGTAAGGGAATATAAATGGTAGATTGCACAATAAAATAAGCGTAAATGATTGGGTTTTATGACTTTATCTGAATTTTTGTTGCTTAAAACCACTACAGTTTAAGGATCAACTTACAATGAAATAATATTCACATGGTACGGTATAAAGCCCAACCATTTACACTTATTTTACACGCTAAAAGGGACATTAAAATTAAAAGCAATTATTATTCTGGCTCCTGTTGCATTTCAAACGCTACTTCTAGAATGCGTTGCATAGTTCGCAACTGCTTTGCTTCACTCATCTTCGATAGTATAGAAACTATCGTAATGCCAAAGCCATGCAAAGCAGAGTTTTTATTTTGCTCTTCCCTAGCTAAGCATCTCTTTTTAAACAATTCCACTGCTTCCAGCATGCTTTTCTCCACATCGAAATTGTTTGCGCGCCGTTTTCCACCCCTGGAGCGCAGTGTTTGTGTGGGCGCTGGTGAGGCTACTAGCGATGACGATGGCGATGGCGAGGGCAACGAAGCTGTGATAGGTGGTGATATTGAAGTTGGTGAGATTTCACTAGGAGGCGATGGCGAAGGTAGGGACACCGCGATCGGACCAAGTGGCAAGGGCTGCGAGACTGCGCTGGTAAGCGATGGTGCAGACAACGATACGAGGGATGATGTCGATAGCATAAGAGGAGGTGATGGTGAAGGCAATTTGATGGGAGATGACGACGGCAGTGTGAGAGTAGGCGATGTCGAAGGTAGCGGTGCCCCGACAGCAGGTAATGGCGACACAGCACTTGCGAAAATATTTTGCGAATATCGAACTCTGCAAATTCAAAATATTTCATATACAATAGGGCTGTTCAGGATGTTGTGGAAATGATATTGGATCTGCATTTGCAAATTTTATGCTTGCTGCCATGACAACTGTGTGCATTTTATTGTTGTGAATTTACAAATGCCACGAATATGCAAATGCAAGAGCATATGCACAAGATCCGGAACAGCCCTATTATTACACATATCGTCTTGTTAAAGTACTAAACTGCGTATGGTCTTTCTGCAAAACCGCGTAACTGGCATTTGCTGCCAAAAATTGGATTTGCTCACACAAGCTATTGGCTCAATCCTTATCCATTCGTCCTGAAATATACCAGCCAGAAATTGCGACTGCTTTATAAAAAAGAGAACCATTTTGAATTATGAGTGTTTTTAGTCTCTAGAAAATAATTTATGCAAGCGTACATACGCGGTTTTGCATTACCTTTATCCGAGGTTTTGCGTTTTGCTGATACGCGGTTTTGTACTTTAAACGACGATATACTGTTACTTCCAAAGTTGATCGTACGGCTAATATTCGCAATGTTTTAAATGCTAATTTTTTTTAAATTTTTTTTATGGCTTAGGTACATATGTTAAATTCTGAAAATTTTGTATGTGGAAAAAATGCGTAGGACAGTCAGCGAAAAAAATTCTCTAAAACCAACGCGATTTTTTAGAGATTTGAAATTTGTACATTATAATATAAAATTTAATCGGCTATAAAACTACATGCCTGAATTCTTTTTAGAAATTCCTATTAAAAAGTTTGCGATTTTGCTGAAACTTTGCAGATTTTTCTTAATTTTTGTACACAGTATCATTCTTGGATTTAAATGGAGTTTCCAAAATATAAGCCATGTTTTAATACAAAATTAACGAAAAATGTTGAGTATGTATGTAAAACATTGCCAATATTAACAAAAAAAAAGAGCCGTGCGCTCATTTTGGTGGTAACAGAACATAGTATATTAGTTTAATGTAGCGCATCTTACGGTCGTGTAATAATATGGGGCTTCAGGAACTGCATTGCCTCCATCAGATGCCACTTTTTATAAAATTGTGCCTCGTTGCCCGATGGTGCTTCCGCTTTCCTCAGCTCCCTGCCATATCGGTCACGGAGAGCTACCCATCTTCTCATACATATTTCTCCTATAAAAATATTGTTAAAAATATTACAGGTATTGCTAGTTTAAAGATGGGTTATAGTATTCTTTACTTACCACTCGTATTTAGCTCCTTTCCGATGAGCTCCCACAAACTTTTTTTACGTTCGACTGCCCTGTAATACCGATTTTTCTTATTAAATATTTCCGGGTATGTCGAAACAAACGCAATCAATTTCTCGTCGTCCATATTCATCATGATTCGATTGAATCAAGCTAACAGCTGACACGGTTTTACGGGAAAAACCAAATTGCTCTTGATTCTCGCCGTCACGGGCAACGGTAGCGTCACCGCCACGCGGTGGTGAGTTTTCATTTACATGGCGCTCTCACAAAATAGGTAGTGGCCAGTGTTGCCGCGAATCCTCTTAGTGGTAGCCAAATTCCTATAAAAAAAGGGCTAAAAAGAGTCGTTATGGCTAAAAATGGTAGCTTAAATTTTTTACTTACATATAAATATATAAGTATACACGCAAACATTTTCAATAAGCAATGGTATAGAAAAACAACGAACTCTGGAAAAAAGCAAATATTTTATCCAACCAAAAACCTTTTTGTATAAAAGGGGAAATATACGACACCAGCTTGCTGGCTCCATCAAGTGATTGTACCATCAGGCTCGAAGCATATAACTTACCAGCATGCTGGTACAATATTTATTTCTTGACAAATGAGGTCGAGGTAAGATGGAAATGATTGGAGCCGAAATTTCATAATTTTTCTATAATTTTGTTAAACATTGTTTTTGTTTTTTAATTCACAACTGCAATATCGTGAACTTAATCTACCACAAACACGGCTTTGACTCATATAGTGCAAGAAATTTCCGCCTAAATACTTTTTACTTAGAAAATTGAGCTAATTTCACCGCTCACGACACCAGCAGCTGGTACAATCACACCACAAGAACACACACAGTCAATCGACTTGATGGGCCATTTAACAAACTAAGCATATTAAGGGCCGTAAACTTATCTATTTTAAACTGTATATGTATATATATCAGTCTTTCTTAGTTTAAAAATTCATCTCTTACATAAATGAAAAAAAAGTAGATCAAATTAAGCATATACAACTTTTCATGCCAAGTATAAAAGGGCTAAAAAAAGGGCTAGGGGCAATTTTAAATTTATGTGGCCAAAAAAAGTATGTGGTAGCTAAATCTAGCCACCAAAGGGCTAAAACGGCAACACTGGTAGTGGCACTGACACGGTCACGTTTTGACAGCAGGGGAGCTAAAAAAATAAGCATAAGAACAAGAGAGAGCTGATAGTTTCTTGGGTTAAGAAATGCTTTCCAGCAGAAATTAGTGATCATTTGTGATAATTATCTGTTAAGAAACAAAGGTAGTAATAAACCTTTTCGCAGTATTTTTCCATGGCGCAATAAACAGGTGAAGTAATAAAACAGCTTTCTTGCTTTATTTTCCGACATTCGGCTGCCTTATAGTCAAATTTTAAAGGCAGTTTTTCAAATAAGGCAGTGCCAAAATCCTGGTATAATTCCGCCATGGGTTTTCACTAATTGGTCCCCGAGGAGTACTTTTGGGTTGCGTGCAGCGTTTTTGTTTTGCGCGCACGGTAACACTTACTGTGGGGAATTTCGCCTCATGATTAGAAAGTTCTTTTCGAGGATTAAGGGCCGGTTACTCAATGTCTGGTTAACCGACACAATGTTATATAAATGGATTCGAATACGTCGATAAAAATGTTAAACCGGAGATTATTGTTAACCAGACATTGGGTAATCGGACCTAAGGGCCGGTTGTACAATGTATGATTAACACAAATCGGAGGTAGAATATTCGGTTAAATACAAAAACTGCTTTATCGATCACATGTTATATGCATGATGTCGAAAACGACGATAATATGCATGATGTCGAAAACGACGATAATGATGTTTAACCGTCGTTGTATTTAACCGGAGCTGCTACCTCCAATTAGTGCTAATCAGACATTGAACAACCCTAAGGGCCGTTTTAACAATGTCTGGTTAATAGCCCAGTTATGCATACTTAGCTTTGAATGAATGAATGTATATAATTGTTATTTATGAACAAAATGTGGGTTTATATTTAACCAATCAATGATTAATAGCGGGGGCCGAAAACCCGTTTTTTCTTAGAATTTTGATTGGTATGTAATAGAAAAAATATGGTTGATTATGCTCTAAAAACAATCTGTGTGAAAAATGACAATTTTTGGTCAATATCTTAGGCTCGCCCAAGTCCATCAAAATTTAAGTGCTAAGAAATTTTTTCTTTGCTTACTTCGATTCCCTTCAAAAAAGGACCATATATCAAAGTATGTAGGGCTAATACTTTCGAAGATAATTACAATTTTAGTAAAAAAAATTATTAACTAATATAATTACTAATTTTTCGTTTTTGAGCAAAAAGCGTATTTTCGACCCACGCTAATGCTTAATTAAGAATGTAAGTTTAAAATTAAAAAAAAATCCACAGTAAGATTATTAAGATTCATACATATCTTACTTGTACAACCAGTTTATATGTTTAAATAAAATAAATAAATAAATATCCACTGTTAGATTATATTGCCATTTAAAACGTGAATTTGTGTTATTTTGTGAATTTATTAATTAAAATTCTAAATTTACGAATACAATATAAGTCCAATGCCTGGCAGTGTATCCGCCCAGACAGCTCCTTAAGGCTATCGGAATACTTGTCGTTCACTTGACTGGACAATTTTTGGAACACACTATCAGTCCAAACTTAAATGGCCGTTGACTGACGAAAACGAGCGGTCACACGGTCAAATAGGAGACATTTGAGCCAAACTGTCGGTTTTGATCGCCAATATGTACCACACATTACTGTATATACTGTGCAGTCAACGACGTAGCGTAAACGTGCGTTGAGGCAAGGCACATACCATGCGTTCAAGAATGATAGAATACAAGATTGCGCCGTCCTGGGCGTTGACATTTGTGTACCACAAGTAAACAAAGAATAGAGCGAAAAGAAGAACGAGTTGAAACAGCCAAAGCAGTTCACTTTACTGCGAAAAACGTGTT